GGTTGTATATAAAAAAAACATTGCAGTAGCTTTTCCGTTTTACTGGTTTAAGAAAGTAAAACATTGAAACAAAGGTACACGGACTACCTAGAAAGACTTACAAATAAAATACACAATTTACAGAATTAAAAGACTGAGACCTTGCAAAAGTCCTCCTTTATCGTTTATAAATGACCGTAGCCAAACGCCACGCTCAACACACAAATGAGGGGTGTTGCGTCCACTGACAGATGGCTCGGTTAATCCGTGGAGACGCGCTTTCACGTCGCCTTGCACCGCCAGTGCGTCACTTATCTCCGGTCACTCCTCCTGGCAGTGATGGCGGAAGTGGACGAAACTGACATCATGATGAACTACCACGGAGACTTCTTAAAAGGCGACAAAAAAAACAACCGCTACCCGTATTGCATCGTCTGGACGCCTATTCCTATTTTATCGTAAGAAGCTAACACATGCTGCATTTCTTGCTAGCTTACCTGCAACGTTACAGCGGGTTGTTATGTTGCTAATGTCAGATGACATGAAACAGGTTTATGTTAGCTGGTTGAATCTCATGTTATTTACCGTACTTGCTTTAAGCGAATGATTGCATACAATGTACTCCACGTCCTCTACCTAATGTATTCTGATCCTACTGTTTTGTGATGGGTGCATTCTGCAGGTGGGTGTTCCCCTTCATTGGTCACATGGGTATATGCACCTCTGCTGGAATTATACGAGATTTTGCAGGATCATACTTTGTCTCGGTGAGTACGTACTGCTTTAGAAAAAGTAATATATGTATTTATTAGCTACAGTAGTTAGTTTCACGTCTAATGAAATGGCATAGGTAATTGCAGTCATTGAGTAATTCATGCTGACTTACTCAATGACTGAATTGTTTTGATTATTTTAAACCTTAAAGATACACTTTTGCGTGAGATAAGTTTTTTATACCTAATACTTTCAGCCTTTGTACACCTCCTTAGAATATTGTCTGCATTTTTATTTCATGTAGTAGTATTTTCTATTATTTTGTATCATAATTGTTTCTATTTTAGATGTATGTTTCTAGTCTATGCACTAATACACCAGAGCATATTCCTTGTATGTAAAAACCTAATTGGCCATAAACAAAATTCTGATTCTGGTATGATTCATTCAATGTTTTACAATTTAAAATTTTGATTTTTTTTTTCAGGAAGATAACATGGGCTTTGGAAGACCTACAAAGTAAGTTTCTTACTTAAAATACTGTCAAAAAGTATTTGTGTCACCTTATGACACAGTTTAATGAACATATGGATTGTTTACTATTATCACAGGTATTGGAAGCTTGATGTGGACAAAGTTTGTGGCAATGGAGCTGCTATATGGGACAAAGCAGTGCACGACGCCTCTGAGGAATACAAATGTAGGCCGGTAAGACGATATTTAGGATTTTTGAAACTTATATTTCCCCTTGATTATTCACATTGTAATAAAACATTTTTCTGTTTTTGTTTAAGCACAATCTGTGCTTAGATAACTGCCATTCCCACGTTGCCATGGCCCTCAACCTTATGCGCTACAACAACAGCACATCTTGGAACATGATAAAACTGTGTGCGCTGTCTCTTATTCATGGTAAACATGTGAGGTAAGTTTTTAAGACTCATCCTGCCATTTGTTTTACCGAAAAGGACACTTCATACATAAAGAACCCAGCCACACTTCCAGGTTACCAACTTGTTAATAGGTTAAAATAATTTACTACAGAGTGCTTATTTGCATTGATTACACCATAGCATTTGTGTCTTAAACATTTTGTCTGCAACAACAGTTACTTTGTTAAGACTTATCAGATTTACTTACTGTTACATTATAATTACAATACATTTTGCAAATATTGATTCTGTTAAAGGTCCCATGTCATGGCCATTTTTACTGATCATAATTCCATTGTTGAGGTCTACTAGAATAGATTTACATTGTTCAATTTTCCAAAATCACATTGGTTTCTCAAACAGCATCTCTGTATAGTATCACTCTCTGTCCTAAACGGCTTGTTGGAGCTCCTGCCCCCCCCCCCCAACTGTGCTCTGATTGGTCAGCTCACCCACTCTGTTCTGATTAATCAACCACCGTTACAGCGGAACATCAGAGATTATGTGTTACAAGGGCGTTAGCAACCAGAAAATGACACCAGTAATGACAAACAGAGGAGAATGCTGCGTGGGGTCTGGGTGCCGTGTTGGCGGGACGTTGCGGGGCTCGCTGCTCCGCCCTTTGAGGCTCGAGGAGCGGACAGTGTGAGCTGTATTACTAGTGTCGTTTCCTGGTTGCTGCGTGGGGTCTGCGAGACAGCGAGACACTGCGGAGCTCAGCCTGAGCACACGCACACACTCACAGCCTAAGCTCCGTGTGTGTGTGTGTGTGTGTGTGTGTGTGTGTGCGGAGCTCCGGATTGGTCCATTTTGACGTTACGTCAATAGGACCCGGAAGGAAAAAATGTTACAAAAAAATTCCAGCGGGTTTTACTCGCTACAGGGTGTAGCAATGAAACCTGAACAACATATTAAACAGTCTTTCTGTTTTGTGTTGATGATGCTTGTGACATCACAGGGGTTTGATCAAATCATGTACATTTTTATTTGTTTGGCCCAAATTCGAAAATCACATATAATCCTCACACTGCTTAAGGATTTCTACAACACATGTCTCCATGAGGCCCTGAAGCACCAGGCCAGTGCACCGGACAATTTAGGCTTCTATATTTGCAGTCTGGGGTCTTCAGGTTTACGTTTTTGCAGGTGGGATACAGAATATTGCCACCTGCTAGTATGGAAAAGTTTATCCTTTCATACAGATGCAGCATGTCTGCACTAGTTTTTGTGTTGTGTTTAAGTGCAACTTTTTGGCCAAGACACAGGGGACATGTGGCGAGACATCACAGCTAGTTTTTTGAAGTTGGGTTTGTTTCTCTGGTCCTTTAGAACACAATTTTGATTAACAAAACTCCATGGAAAGAAAGGAAACTTCAATGGGCAAAAGACAGTGAAGACAGAAGAAGCATTTGCTAAATCACAAAGTTAACAGAAGGAAAACATTATTACTCACAGTACTGGACCAAACACACCTAAAGCATTGTCATCACTAACATGTACACAGTCGTTTAAATTGGTCTGCTGCTGGATGCTGGTGAGCATTGGGAGACATATGGCCAAGAGAACCCGCCTCATAATTCTCCGGCGACCCACATAGAGATGCCGGCGTTTGTGCTGCCTCTGCACATACACTCCCGCTGCACAGGAGTCTGTTAAACAGTAGGGGAGTTTTGTAATTCATCAATGACAGCAGAGCCCCCCACTGTGTCACACCTGAAGGTCACCCCTCCGGTGGGGCTCCCTGCGCCGGCTGGGTAGAGAGGACAGCAGGGCACAGGTAGGGTGCGTTCAGGGGCGGAGAGAGGAGCCATGGGCCCCTGGGAGTAAATAGATCGGACCATGTGATTTCAACACACACACACAATAGAGGGTGTTTTACCCTCTGTGCCACACACTCTCCGTATCCAGGTGTTAATAATTACTCTAACACACCTCTCTGTATCCTTCAGCTGGGCGGCCTTCCTCAAGACTTGGCTTCCCTTCTTCATGATCTTCGGAATTCTCGGCACGTTCATCCTCACGTTCAACCTACATTAAAGGACCAGGCAGGCAATCGGGAGGGCTCACAGACTTTGGCTATACTTTATACATTGTCTTCGGCTGCTGACATGAAATTGTTTTGTCGGGACATTTGTTTCATGTACACAAATTCCAGATGATGGACTTCATTGTGTGTTAGGGATCTATTCTCTAGGGGGGTATTTAAGGACAAACAATACTGAAGCTGTCTGTGCGTAGTTTTGAAATCAATAGTATGTTTTTACCATTTATTTTATTTAAATTTTTATGATTGAGTTGTTTTTTTTACACAGTGGGTTCTGTGTTTATGTTTTGTTTATATGGGGGATCATAAAATGGTTATACCACAGAACTGTTGAGATGTACTTTTCCAAGAATGGCAATGATGAATGTGTTTTCTGACTGGCTAATGTTCATATCGGTGAGGAATAACTCTAAAATGGATAAAAAATTCTTAACGCTAAAAGCATTCATCAATTATTTGTTTAGGAGTTATGAGACGATACCAAAAAGAGATAAGGAAAAATCGAGGTACTGTCATGCTGTAAAACACCTACATTAAATCCTGTTTCCTTTGGTGTATAAATACAAGTATATGTTTTATCTTTACGTGTATTATTTGCTCCTCTCCAGACAGAATTTGAATCCTTACATCCTTAAGTTACTTTAACTGTAATTTAATGGCAATACTATAATACTTATGTCCGTTTTTTGTTTACTTTGTTGATGGTATGTACCCAAAAGAGTATTATCCATTACAGCTGCAAGAATTAGTTGATCTAAAGAGTTATTTGTCATGCAAAAAATTACAGAAACCACATCTAATGTGCAGATACACTGCATTTAGAGACATCACCTCGGACTCTTAGACTGGGCTGGACCTTTTGACTTTCTTCTAACAATGCATAGATGAATAATTGATTAATCTAGAAACTAACTGGTATATTAACAGTTCATGAAAGTAATCATTAGGTGCAGCCCAACCATATAATCGTACATTTCTGTTTCTGTGATTTATCTGTTTCTGTGACCTCATTGGATGCTGGAAGTGCTGTATTCAGCTTTTCAGGCTGCTGTAGGTCACAGGCTGTAGATGCCCTAATCGTCCTCTGTACCTTTAAGGGACCCACGTACCTTTTTCATCCAGCACCATCTGCGTTATATGAACCGACATCAATTTAGGGGGACCTTCATCCCCAGAGTGGAGCAGATGAGGAGGGGCTCGTGCTAAAGCTCTCTCTCTGCAGCATATATTCACTTAGAGGGAACAAAAGCAGTGTACAGAATATTAAAATTGTTCTTCTGTAATTCAATACATCTTTTTAAACTTACATTTTCATTGATCATAATTTAGAGATGTGTGTTTTTGCTGTCCGGCTGTTTTTGGGAATCCTTTTCTGTGCACCGCGCTCACAGTGCTTGGTGTGTCCTTTTGGCTGTGAGTGCTTTGCTGACAGTCACACAGTGAAATGTGTTTCTGAAGATCTGCTCACGGTGCCACAAAGTATTCCAGGATATGCAAAGACCGTCATCATCGCAGGGAATAATATTTTCCAGATCGGACCTGATTCCTTTGCACAGCTGGAGAATGTCAGCAACATCATTTTGCGCAATAATAGGTAAGAATATCACAGTTTGTTTTAGTTTCATTACATATCAAGCCATATTACATGCTTACTCTGTTGATGTGTATCTAATAGATACAAAATGTTCTTTGGTATGCACAATTTGATTGTTTTACAGCCGATACAGATAATGAATAACCAATTGCTTCTTATGACTGATAATAATAGGATTTTATATTTCACACTCATGTAATTGTTCAGTTCATAACCCATAGTTTATGCGCACCTGAGGGTAAGGAAGGCTGAGATATGTTGAGCAAAGTTTGGTTGCCCTTCAATGTTCCTTTTAGTTTTTTGATGCATCAGAAAACTTATATTGAAAATTACAATATTGTTGTCTTCCTCTAAAACTGTGTAAAACCTTCCCACTTTAAAGGTGCAAACCATCACATAGACTAGTGCAGTGTAGTATTTAGATATACTGCTTGTTAAGTCAAAGAAACCATTTGGTTTTGAATGTATCAGCTATAATTGTATTACAGTAAAAAAATAAACCAACTTCTTAATGTCAGACAATAATTTTTCTGCAGCTATACATATTGTGCCTTCCTAATGTTTATATATCTGAGTGTGGTTTTATGGTTTATGTATGCCCAATACATAAAGAAAGGTGTTACAGTGTTAGTCATCTACCCAGGATTACAGAGATGGCGTCCCACAGCTTCTCTGCCCTCAGCAACCTGCGCTTCCTGGACCTCAGTGAGAACCATCTGGCCCTCATCCACCCAGAAGCCCTCAGCATACCCGGCAGCCCCCTTCAGGAGCTCAACCTGAGCCACTCGCTGAGCAACTTCACCGCTCTGATGGACCTCATCACGGCTCTGCGCTGGGGGGGCCTCGGGGGGCTCCTCCGCCTCGACCTCTCTGGGAACCACCTCGCCCTGCTGCCCCCGGGGATGTTCTCACACCTTCCCAACCTGCAGCACCTCTTCCTCACCAACAACTCCCTTAAGGCCGTCTACAGTGGAACCTTCTCTGGTATGAACCACCTGCAGGTGCTGGACCTCACACACAACGCCTTCACGGCGGTCAGCGCTGATGCTCTCGAGGAGCTGGAGATGCTCGGGAACATCCGAATCTTCCTTGGAGACAACCCTTACACCTGCTCCTGTGAGATCAGTCATTTTGTTGCCTGGCTGAATGAATCCAGAGCCCAGGTGGATGTGGATGCTGTGAGGTGTGCCTCACCGGGGGGGTTAGGTGACACCCGGCTGCAAGGGCTCGGTGTCCACGCCCTTGGATGTGTGGTTCCTGTCCAAGAAGAGGCGGATGATCTCACCCTGCAGACATCCTACGTCCTCCTGGGGCTGGTGCTCGGTTTAGTGGGCATGGTCTTTCTCTTCGTGCTCTATCTGAATCGCAAAGGTATGAAGACGTGGATCATTGAGATGAGAGATGCATGTCGTGATGTGTTGGAGGGATACCACTACCGATTTCAGCTGGACTCGGACCCTCGACTGGGGCAGATCTCTAAAGATGGCAGAAGCGGGGTACGAGGGCATTCAGGATTAGATACGTCTCAGCAGCTGCCAAGTGACACCTATATTGTCCAGCTTCCTACAGACACTCAGGTTAAACAGCTGACGACCTCTCCACATGTGAAACTATGATCGTTTAATGAAGCTAGAGACTAATTTGACAGTGAGTGATGTAGATGTGAATAGTCAATGCCAGTACATTTACAGTTGAGGTATTTAGGATTCCTACTGCATTAGAAAAAAAAATGCCTCAAAGTGCATTTGTGTTTTCTCAAGGCACACATTTCTGTAAATCAACCTACATCTTGTGTGTTTATTATACCTTTTATAAAAACATAGGCTAAATAACAGACTAATAAAGAACACAAGATTCACAGAAAATACAAACATACATAAAATAAACCCTAACAAAATAATTAAAAAATAAATAAAGGGGCCGAAGGACTTCAAAAATAAAGGGCACACATTAAAACAATATAATCAAAGTTTAGCTATCTAGAAGGAGGAATTTATATTGAAAGTGTCTGGATCTATGTTTTGAGGTGTGGTAATGCATGATAAACATGGGAAATCATATAGCACTATTAAAAAAAAAAAAGGTGTTGAAGATGTGTTTTTTACAAGACAATGTTAATGATGTACTGTTTACAGGTGTTCATATGGACGAAGATCATAGAAGTGAATTACATTTTAAGCATCAATATGTATGGATTACTTTAAAGCACGTATGTATTTCAGACACTGTTTAGTGCATGTGTAATTTAAAGGGTTGTCTAAATATTTTCAGCTCTAGAAAATGTATTTAAAGAGAGAACTTTAGGAAGGATGGAGCTTGATTCTTGTTTTTCTCCTGTTACTGTATTATTGTTTATGTAACTGTAATTGACACACTATTTATATCTTGAGTAAGGGGCAGGCAAATAAGACTTTCCTCTCAATGCACCTTTTTGGTCAAGGAAATAACTGATGCGTTAAGACACCATGAGCAGATCAAATAAAACATTAAATTTGACAACATTACATCATATAAATCATGTGAAGAATAGGTACGTTTCATGAATCTTTAATATTTTAGGATTTATAATGTGATTAGTATTATATTATTGATATGAATATATATATCAAACCTACCGTAGACTTTGTATTAACAATAATTACAATTAAATTAAACTTGATGTATTTAATTTGTTGTGCCCCTGTTTTATTGGGACCACAAGACTAATATTTTTCCGCAGGTAGGATGGCCTTACTTTTTCCAGTTTAAACAGGGGGTGATTAAGTGTTTCCAAAGAGGGAAAATAGGGCGAAATGAAAAATATTGCTTTGCTTTGCGGCTGTGCAGCTCTGTACGCATGTCAGACCTTGGGTCCGTGTTTGTGTTCATAGCATGTGTGTGCATGTATGAAGAAGTCTCCATGCAGAGGTGGGAGAAGTAGCGACTCAGATCATGTACTTCAGTAAAAGTAGAAGTACCAGAGAGTAAGAATACTCTGTTACAATAGTCCTGCATTAAAAATGTTACTCAAGTAAAAGTACAAAAGTACTAAAGTATTAGCATCAAAATATACAAATGCAAAAGTACTCATTGTGCAGATTGGCCCATTACAGATATATTTAGGCCCAATTCCAAACCACACCTACAGTGGGGAGTGTGTAGGGGTAGGGTGTAGGGCGTGGTTTGGGATTGGGCCACCATGTTTTGATTATAGTTATGCATGCATTAAAGTGTTATCAAAGCCCACCTGCCAGCGGGCGGAAAAACGCATCATCTGCAGGAAACAGCGTCTGAGGGCTTCTTAATATTTAATAAACTATGAATGTTTCATATCCATGTAACGGGAAGAAACTCAGCTAACTGATTATATGAACCATTTTTAGCAGAAAAAAACAAAAGACTAACGCTGAGCCTCTGGATTAGCCCTGAGCGAAAAAATGCTAACGCTGTTAGCACAGAACTCACGGTATAAAACCCTTATTACTTATCGCAAATGGAAATCTAACCCATCGATAAGCATCGTGAGATTACACAGATTCGATAGGTATCTGTATCATCACTCCATGATCAGAACTCGCGACATGAGAAACAAAAACAGACATCACAACACGTGGCATTAGGTAGCAAACTCGGCAATATGTCTTACCTTTGTTGTTGTCTGATCAAAAGTTGCCTTCAATGGCATTAAAACGATAAAAACGCTGCTGAAGGTTAATCCATAGGTTAATCCAATGTGTCTGTGTCCCTTTGAAATGATTACTGATAATCCATCAGCAATAAACCTAGTTTTAAGTTTTCAGATTTCAGAGCGTAAGATAGGTTTCGCTTTGGGCAAACTGCGTGCGCATAGCCCCCACTTCTCAATGGTAACGTTGATGTGTATGTGGAAATTCCCCTTCGATTCTATTGGCTCTAACGGTTCAAAAGAGAAGTCAATCATCAAAATCGACCAATGGGTTCAAGAGAAACGGCAAAAACGCCAATTTCCACCCAAATGACCACAGAGGTGGAGTTTCTTTTTCTAAACCTCTCTAAAAATATCAAATTTCACTTGTTTTGCATCAATCTTGATACAGGGTACTTATTATATGTTGTACTTTGGATTCTTAAAGCTTTTAGTCTACCTTGCTATCATCCAAGGGTAGTTTTCACTATAAGTAAAAAATAATCTTTGGACGGACACTATAATTTACATTTTTTACATGTTCAATCTGAATTTTCTTTAAAATAAAAACATCTACATTGATTCTGACTTTTCTACATCCAACTCACAGGTTTATCATTACTTTGAGAAAAAAGATGATTAATTTAACCCTTCTAGAAGGGAAGATATGGTCCTTTGTTCTGGGAATGTCATTTTCGAGCCTGAGACCTGAAGAACAGGATTGGGGTTTAACAGGTTAAAAGAAATAATATTGAGTTGAACCTTATTAATCTTAATATTATTGCTTTCAACTACCCTAATAAAGTTATGTGAAATCTGTTGACATAATACATTTAATTAAAGTCAACGTTTCAGTGTAAGAGTGTAACAGAACTGTCATTAACCTAGTGGTTCTCAAACTTTTTCTGTCAGGCCCCCTTTGGAGAAAAAAAAAGTCGGGCCCCCCCAACACAAATAGTCAGGCTCATTGGCGGCGCCAGAGATTTATTTTGGGGTGCTGTGGGGTAGCTTGACGTTTCATAGAGGGTGCTCAAACATTTAGGGTTTCCCATTAATGTACTGGTCGCTACAGTGGAATGTTCTACTGCAACAATCCCCACGCATATACACAATGTACCCGCAACTGTTACAATGAAGGCTCGATAATCAGCTCACGGCATATAGGTGTAAGCAGGGGTAAAGTTCTATTTTTCTAGGTGGTGTGTGAACCTCACATAGGGGGGTCAGGGGGCAAGCTCCCCCGGCAAGATTTATTTTTAAATATTGAAGTTAAAAGCATCAATCTGGTCCACTTTGAGGGCAAAATGAAGAGACCTATGGATACCTCTCTCAACACCTATATGAAACAGAACTGTAAACAGATTTACTTTTTCTTTATGGATATTTTACAAATCACTCCCCTTTTAAACTTTATTCTTTTTGCTGTCATATAGTATTTCATACCTGTTTTTCATTTATTCTCTTATTTTTGTATAACTATAATGATCATATAAACGTGTGCCTCGGAAATAATTGTTTACATAAATGGTGACAACGTTTGAGACCCACTGAGAACACTGAGAGAAGTCCGCTTTAGCTCATTGAGTCTCTCGTCTGAGCAGGAGAGGACTCTCCTCCACTTGTTGTTTGAAAAAACTCTTAAATCCTTAGCGTAGCTCGCTAGCACCAGAAGCAACCAACAACGATCTCCCGTCATTAATCTCCGGTATCGGTGCCTCCTCTCCCTTCATCTCTCTCTCGCAGCACCAAAAATGGCTCGTTCCACCACACAACACACACCACACACACACACACACCACCACACACACACACACACACACAACACCACACACACACACAGCACACACACACACACACACACACACACACAACAGCACACACACACACACACACAGAGGCCGAGGCTTTAATGATAACAAAGAGACACAGAACCGTAATAGTAGCATGTACTGGCATCATATTTATTTTCGAATCAATAATTTAAATGTATGCTTTTTTTTTTTCACCCCTATTTCTTCCTTTTTCTTCAATAAACCCTATTTTCGTCTGGTCCCCATCGCGCACACCCCTGCATCGCCCTCCCTGCGGCCCCCCTAGGGGAGGGCCGCGCCCCCCTAGCTTGAGAAGCCCACTGCATTAACGAGCTTGTACCTGCATGACCAGTTCACATTCAGACTCAAGGCTGGGGGAGGCCCTCTTCACACTGTGATAGGATTTCTGTCTGGTGTAAAACCTTCGCCCCCGTTCGTGGTGAGGAAGTATAGGAGCAAAAAAGTGAGAACCAAGACCTAATGTTTATAGGATCCACTGTCCCCCACCAGATGAATCATTAAGCACATTACTAACCTAATTAGCTCGCGCCAAATTGTCCATGTTTTAAAATTGCTGGGAGTTTCTGGTGGACTAATCTGGTTATGCAATACATAATAATTTATGATCAGTGGATTGACTATCACCATAATTGATAATTATATTGCGGATAATTATGTAATCAGTTATTCACATTGGATACTTGACAAAATAAATTGCACTGTGGAATTGTTGTGTTTCTTTAATACTGTATATAATTTCTTATTTCGGCATGAGATTACTTTGCATTTTTGTTCATAACTGAATTGAATGTTCTCATTACCACACAGTACATTATATTCAGCATTTCATTTGGCTGATGCTCTGTCCAAAGCGACTTTAAATAAGTGCAAAAAAACAGTAAAGATCTCAAACCGAAACAAAGAAAGTCAGATAGACGTGGGTTGATTGTGATTAAACTTAAATAAATAATAATTAAAAATACTTAAAGATGTTGTTTCCTGGGACAATGTGAATTGTTTATACAGTTGTGCCTCTTGGATGTGGGCTGGTGAACACATTTTCCCCCCCGAAAAAGGCTTCTATATTTCCTCCTCCTCGTTTCTCAGGTTTACCCCAACCCGTGCCTCCGTGGTACTACGGCCTGTCTCGAACATTTTCCGACTTTGGAAATGAACATCTATCCTGACTCAGCTGATCTTCGGCGGTGAGATGCCTGCACCACGCATCACCCTGTTTCACCGCTCCGAACCCGGCTGCACGGCAAGTCTCGACCAGCTGGCTTTGCCCTGGCTGTGGGGGGGGCCCACCGCCTGCCTGGCTCACCATTCTTCGTCCGCCATTGGTAGCACAGCACACACACACACCACAGCACACAGCAGCACAGCACACAGACACCACACACACCACACACACAGCAGAATACATCACACACACACACCACACACACAAGCAGCACACACACCACAGCACACACACACACACACACACACACACACACACACACAACACATTACACACACACACACCCCCTCATGTAGCATACTTTAATTCCTGCAACGCGCTCCCTCAGAGTTCCTCTTGCCCTTCTCCGTAGGCTGTGAATTTTGCTCCATTTTTATGCAACATAGCACTTTGGTGTGGCTATATACAAAAATGATTTTGGGCAGAGTGGGAAAATGCTCATTATTTCTGTGAAAAAGCACCGCATGTTCTCCGCCAATTGCCTCCAGTATCTGTGTCTGTTAACACTCTTCCTGTGTCCTCTCCTCTAGACGCTGTCTGTCATTAAGACCGTGCTGGCCATGACAGGGAAGTTTGGAAAACGCCTCACTGTCTATATTACGTGTGACTCAGCGGAGGTGTTTCCCACTGTTATCAAGGTGAGTTAGTTACAAACCTGACCCCAATGCATCTGGAATCTTCTCTCGGGCGCACATGTTATGCGTTTAATCTATGCTTATGTAGTGTGCATGAATATGCAAAAATGTTTCAGGGGAAGGATACATTTTTCTTGCCTGTGGCTGACGCACCATATAAGGTCAAAGATGTATCTGCAGGGGCAGTGAAGTGACTCAGCATAATCAGTAAAAATCGTGGTTGTCACTCTGTGTGTCCCTCACAGACAGAATGGGATTCGGGATCGTGGCCTCATGTGTGCTCCGACGGAGGAGTCCTGGCTCCCATGATGTAGCCATGAGCTTAGGAGAGCTAAATCCCATGCTGCCCATGGTGGCTATAGCCGGCCTCTGGCCTCTACTGGGCTCCGCCCTCACTGCTGCACACCCCCGGAAGACGGGGCCAATAAAGGCCCCTGCCGCGAGCCACCATCTCGAGGACGTAGAGGTGATCCCCCCTCAGGTGTGATAGCAAACACTTTCAGATAGGGCTGTAAAGTCGTTAGCTTCAAACTAATCACATGACAAGTTTGAGCCCCTAACCTCCTCCCCTTATTTCCAGGCGTGGATGTTTACCATCGAATGTGCGTGGCAATGAAAAGGTAAAGAGAGCAAACTATTCTCACGCAGATGCATGTGTTGCACTGACTGCGAGACTGGACATCAGGTAAGAAGCCGTCCTAACCTCAACTGTAACGGAACACAGGATGAATACAATCCAAAAAGTAATGTGTTCACGCTGCAGCTATTTCTAAATGCTCTTAATGTTTTTTCTTTGGACAAGCACTTTGAATGCCTTGTGTTGAAGGCGC